TACCTAATCAGTTTCACTGCTAGAACAATCCATTAAAATGATGTTAATCACTTCGATTTCACTTTATATATATATATATATATATATATATATATATATATATATATATATATATATATATATATATATATATATATAATCTAATATATAAAATTCTCGTGTCGCGGTGTTTGTTACCAATCTCCTTCGAAACGGCTTAACCGATTTTTATGAAATTTTGTGTGCATATCGGGTAGGCCTGAGAATCGGCCAATATCTATTTTTCATACTCCACAGTTATAAGGGTGTAAATATTATCCCCTAAATATTTCTTTTTTGTTTCTTTGACAAAACATCCACTGTATAAGTAGGTAGGTATTATATTTATTTACAGTATATGTATTTATGTAATATTTTATTATGTATCTTAATATTTTATTTAACTGTATATTTGTTTATGTACACTAAATATTAATAGTTGTGGCACTTCAGCTGCCCGCTAACAACATGCTTTCTAACTGCATTGGGTTGACTGGAAGAGATCTCTGTCAGAGATAAGTCCACCCTTGCTCACAATATTTATAAATGCATTAACAATGTAATTTACAAGTGCAATAAAGAATATATATAATAAAAAATTTCTTATTTTTATGTTATTATGATTTAGCCTTGAAAAATACACACAAATTTAAATTTTCACGTTTTTACGATCAACCCCTGTTTTTTAATTACGATTTTGATATGCCGCAATAGGGTTGCAAGATGGTAATCGAATATAATAATTGTAGTAGGATAAATTTTCATGTATAGTTCTCGAAATAATGTATATGGTAAAACAACGTTTGCCAAGTCAGCTAGTGTATATATATATATATATATATATATATATATATATATATATATATATATATAGTATAATTTAAAATTCAATATAAGAAAAAACATGATGTATATAATAAATTCTGTTAAAAAAATGTGTGACAATTGCGTGGCTATTTCCTAGGGTACTAAATAGAGGTTTCTATACACTGCGTATAGAATAAAAACAATTGTGTGAACAATTACTTTTCAATCTATATTGAATGACAATTAAGCTGACGGTAGATATTAAAAAAAATCCTCGCTTTTTTTATAAACACAGAGGGCAAACGAGTTAGCGGCTCACCTGATGGTAAGTGATTACTGCCGCCCATGATCACCCACAACACTAACGGCATTGCAGGTGTGCTGCCGGCCTTTTAAAAAGGTATATGCTCTTTTCTTGAAGGTTCAATTTACTGACATGATTAGCACACTGGTCATTAAGTAATACACTGTGACACTCATAGTATACCACATGCGTTGCTAAGAAGTAATATCTCCGTATCCTGAAATTTTATTTAACAAGACCCTTGGTATGTTCAAATGTTGGTATGTTGGTATATCCAAAGGTTGCCTGGAAGAGATCGCTTTAAGCGATAAGGTCGCCCATTGTTTTCTCACTGTGATTATTTCTTGTAATTGTTTATATTTATAATAAGTTTACTATTGTAATCTTTTGGAGGAAACAATAAAGAGTATCTATCTATCTATCTTTAAATATGCCAAGATAAAAGTAAAAGATTAAATTCCTCCAACAAACAACACCGCGGCGTCACGATCGCGGGCTTACTTCAAATCACATCAGGAGATAGTCACGACGTCTGTACTTTATGTCTTCAGATTTGCACGAGCGGTACACTGGCACTCGTCTTGGAATTACTGGCGCAAGTAGATACATAGATATTCTTTGTTGTGCCCTCCAGGATATATTTATACTAGGTATAGACAGTCTATGGTAACATGGCGAGCCGAGAGTTATGTTTTTTTATATTATTGTTTGATTTTAAATGATACTCTCTCTGTAATAAATTGGTGCCACTGCATCATGTTCGAAAGAACATGGCATATAGCGGAGTGATACCATTTTAGTTCTTAATATTTTTCATTATTTCTTGTTTATTGTTTTTAGTTTTTTTTTTTTTTTTTTTGGAACAGAGCAATAAATATGTAATACTAATGCTAAATTATCTCGATGGGGCCATTGTATTTATTATATCCTCTTTAAACATACTTCATCCCTATTTTAGTCTTCAGAGATAGGTAAGAAAGTAAACTTTTTTCGTCGTTACGATTTTTTTTTCAAGTCACTTTTATGAGACTTCCATTACTTCTTAACAGTCTTCGTTTATTCTACTCGAATGGTGGGCCAATATAGGTGGAGGCTGGAATGCCTTTCGCGCCCTGTCCGACCCCACTTGACCTTTGTCGCTCTCGCTCCTTCCTACATTCACCTGGCCAACTACAATCTTTAATGCATTATAAATTATGCTAAAGAGATTTAACTATTTATAGATTGTATTTATTCGATGAAATTATAATTGAAATATCGAGAATTATTACAGTAAAAAAACCTACTGATATTGTTCGTTAGAAAACTGCAATTGCATCTCTTTACGCCTGGCTTAAATGCCGTAAAGAAAAGAGCATATTCCTTTTTAAAAGGCCGGCAGCACGCCTGCAATGCCTCTGGTGTTGTGGGTGATCATGGGCGGCGGTAGTCACTTACCATCAGGTGAGCCACATGCTCGTTTGCCCCCTGTGTTCTAAAAAAAAAATATGCCCTGGAGGAGAATTCCAAAGTTTAATAACTCGACCAGAGGTATGAACTCACGAATCTTTTGGTGTGTACAGTTAATGCCTATACACCACAGCTATATCCATCTTTTATCCTAATTCACGCTGAAGAAACCGTGTAATATAGCTAGTAATAAATTAGTTCTATTGCTAGCAATACCCCGTCAGCTAGACCTCTAAGCCATCCTCTTGAAAACCATCCAGTCAACGTAGTTATTTCCTGGCGAATTCGTTACCATAAGAAAACTGGCCTGTATTCATCCTTGCCTAATCAACCTTTGTTGATATCTCGCCGGTATAAATCAATATAAATGAATTTACTGAGCACAGAGGAATAACACCTGAGTCCTCAGGAATGGCAACGCATGAGGGGTATCATGGACGAAACAGTATACTCTGTTATGTCCATGGTACTGCTCATGTCTATAGGCGACGGATACCACTTTCCATCAGGTGGGCCGTCAGCTTGTTTGCCATTCTAAGTTGTATAAAAAAAAAAAACGGAATTACTATTCTATTGCCATACATAAAAACGCAGTTTATGGTCCTTCGAGCCGGATTTTTCTTTTAAATTGACTACCACGGACAAAGACGCGGGCACAGCTGGTAAATAAGGTTATTTATTGAAATCCATTCGTACGAAGACAAACAATAATATTGCATTTCATCATTTATTTATTTTTTATGGCGCGCACGTAATGGGATTGTTATTGTGTTTTGTATGGGTATTGATCGATTTGCAAACCAGCACAATGAAGACTTCATCTCAGACAATAGGGGTCACCGACCGCCGTGAGGTGAGCTAGCGACGGTGGTGGGAGCGCCTTCTTCGAAAGGGGAACAATATATAGCTTATGTATGCAAATAAGTGCATAGTTGCTGTGTTATGCATATGTTGACGTTCAATCGACTAGAGTGTGTGCAGTGTTGCATGTGTGTGCATAATCACGCTTAATTATGTAACACTAAGTACTCGCCCTGGCTTTGCACAACACAGTATATTATTTTAACTTCTTTTTTTTACCACAAAAGTAGCAAATAAGCATACGGCTTGTCTGATTGTAAACGGTCACTATAGCCTATGGACGCCTGCAACACTAGGGGTGTCACGTGCGTTGTCGGCAATGAAGAAACCTTAATATATTATACCTTTTTTGAAGAACCCCATAGTGTAGTCTCTAGGAAAAACCTCGGCAGGGATCTCATTCCACATAATGTACATATTTCTCAAAAAATTTGCCACTGTAAGTCATAACGACTTATTTTTACTTTTTGTGATTACAAAAAGTGGAATCAATGATCTACTCATACAAAAGTTGAATTAGAATAACTTATACATACAAAGGTTTCGGAAAAAAATATGATTTGCCATTCCCTGCGGAGATATAACCCGTCTTGTATATTAGAAATCTAAGAAAATATATTTACGTAGCTTTTATAGCGGTAAAGAGATAATTATGTATATACATTTACCGCATTGACGCCACAGCGGTGCGAAAATGCAATTTACTTTCACGACAGACGACCAGAAAACATCATTTCTATGGTTATGGGCGATTGAATTATTATATATTAGTATGTATATGTTACTGGGAAACTGTATAATACAAATATTCTATGCAATTCCTAGGTAATACTGCCAAGCGTGGCAACAACTGGCAAACCTCTCCTTATGTGGGACCTATGTTGTGTTTACTCTGTTACGTCCATGGTACTGTTCATGTCTATAGGCGACGGTTACCACTTTCCATCAGGTGGGCCGGCAGCTTGTTTGCCATTCTAAGTTGTATAAAAAAACCTGGTGAAGGGTTAACTGACCTGATTTAATTATCGACTGACATTCTACCAGCGCATACCGGCAGCTCAGAAGGAGTTACTATTCCATTATCATACATACATACATACATACATATCTGTCACGCCTGTCTTCCATTAGGGTAGGCAGAAACAATGGAACGACAAATGCTTCGATTCAAACAAACCTCTTTCGGTTCTTCCACATTCATCAATCATTTCATACACGTTTCATATTCCATTATCATCCATTAAAAATACCTTATTTAAATTTACAGTTGGGACATTAAATTTAAATATGTGAAAATCACTACTCCACTAGATGGAGTAACGATCTAAAATGCTTCATATTCGGATGTCAGTGGATACAGGTGGCTTAAGACCGTTCTATATGGCAGTCTATGGGCGATGTCTATACTAAGCAAAGGACAGTTTATAGCTGATTATTAAAATTAACATATATATATCATATCTGTCACGCCTGTCTCCCATTAGGGTAGGCAGAAACAATGGAACGCCAAATGCTTCGATTCAAACATACCTCTTTCGCTTCTTTATTAATATTAACTAACCTTGTTTAACGGAGACGTATTTCTCGTTCAATGCCGCCACGAAGGCTGCCTGCGGGAGGCTGTCTTCCAGCGAGAACAGCTCGTCCCTGGTGACGGCAGTAGATCTGGTCTTCAGGACCGCTTTGGAGCCGATGGGCGCGAGGTACGCCCCGGTGCCGTCGCGGAGCGCCAGCGCCCCGGCGTGGTACTCCGCGCTGAACAGGCACAGTGGTGTGCACGTGTCCAGGAGCTGAAGAATACCATATAATCTTAGATTATATACATATTGTCTCCATAGATATGCTTCGGGAAAAGTGGGTCAACTATTTCTTTTTATTCTTTATTGTACACAAAACATAATGTTAATCACAATTCATTATAAACATAATGTACAAAGGCGAGCTTATCTCTTAGTAGAGAGAGATTTCTTCCAGCAAAACCTTTTCATGTAAATTGTGTTATATTAAAAATACATTTTTAAATTTCATACATTGGTTATTTTTTTTTTTATTTTAATAATTCTTTATTTGGAACAAAAACATTGATTAAAATATTATTGAAATTTTGTGTGATAAATAATTAAGAGATCCTTTATAACTTCTATATTTGTAATTTTTAAATCTTCCTAATGCTTAAAAATTTATTTATTAAATAATTAAATATAAAATACGTCAAGGTACACTGTGTTCGTAAGTATATAGAACACTGATAAAAAAACGAGTCGGCTAATTTGACAATTAGCTGACAAAAAGTTGACCCGTTTTTGAGGCTCGATTCTCTATCTATATAATCTAAGCATATAATATACTGGCTGTTAAAAAAAAAAGTATATTCTAAACTTATAGAACTTCATGAAAAAATATAAAACTAATATTTAACCCGACCATAAAATAGTCTTCTCGTGTAGCCCCGACACAAAATGGGCCATCCCTTCCTTTCCCGTGGGTATCGTAAGAGGGGACTAAGCGAACTTAATGGTCGAGAAATGGGTAGCAGAATCCCTTTTTAAATATGACTAAAGGCTAACAGCGGTTGCCAACTCGACTACCAATCGTGGCAACTACTGGCGAAACCCCAGGTCGACCTGGTTGGGTATATTGCTAGCAATGGGGTTCTCAGTCTCCATTACTAACAATCCCTTTCCCCTCTACTATGTGTACTTAACAACTGATTGACATACTTAAATATTTGGCCAAACAATGATTCGTATTTTTTCACACTGGTACTCAATATTGGACGCAGCAAAGCCTGTCTCGCCGCTGACTTCCATTGTTTACTATACCGTCCGTCTGTCCGCCACTGAGCTATATAACGAATAGCATATTGTTATCGCATTCAAACCGGTCATATTAGGGGAGAAAGGGATCGTTAGTAATGGAGACTGAGAATCCCATAACTTGACTCGGTTTTTTTCTATCAGTGTTCTATATACTTATGCACACAATTAAATTTGACGTATTATTTAATAAATAAAGTAAGTGTTTTAAAATGATGCACAAATTATAAAAGAAAATAAAATTATAAAAATTATAAAGGAACCACTCATACCTATTTATCACGCAAAATTGCATGAAAAAGTTGAGCCGTTTTTCTCGAAACATTTGTATGGAGACACTCTAGTTCACAGGATACTGTTTATTATTAACGTAAAAACAGCAGCGTGCTACAGTTAGTGTATAGTATAGTTAACATATATGCGTGACTGTGCAAGTCTTTATGCAATGGCCCATTCAATTCGCATCGACAATTGTAAATTAATTTGCAGTGAAGCATTCGTTGGATGTGACATAATAATGGCTTTGCACGACATTTGTAATGTTTATAAACAATATGGATGTTGAATATGTTTACAGGCAGTCCTATGAGTTTAAATTTATTTAATTAATGTAAAGATAATTGTTAATAAAATTATAACGAGAGGGAGACTTTGTACAAAAGTCATTTGCTTGGTCACCTCTGTCCTATTCGTGTTTCTACCGTGAAGCAGTTGTGTTTGCGTGGCTGTGTTTCGGTTTGAAAGGTGCGATATGACAGTGAATTTACAGGGTACAGAGGAATAACACCTGAGTCCTCATTAATGGCAACGCATGGGTGGTATCATGGACGAAACAGTATACGCTGTTATGTCTATGGTACTGCTCGTGTCTATAGGCGACAGTTACCACTTTCCATTAGGTGGGCCGTCAACTTGTATGCCATTCTAAGTTGCATAACAAAAATAAAAAATAAATTTGTTTCCACTAACTATAGGAAAAATTCATATCTCTGGCGTGCAAGCGATAATTTTAATAAAATATCTAGAGATCTCAATTCAGACTTATTTAATTCTAAGATGGAATCCGCAAAACGTGTGCTGAATCAGTGGTTCTTTGATGGTTCACCTTTGAGCATGTGATTTAATTTTTTTATTTTGCATAACTGCCTCTCTATAATGTGTGTACTACCATAATTTTGTTACTCTAAGTTTAATTTAGTTTTTTTTTTTTTTAAATATTTTAAGGGCTTTTACCTTCTTCAGGTATATCAGTCCTATTGTACCCTGAACTGATTTCTCCAACAAAACTTTATCTACCTTCCCTAGACGCGGAACGAGAAGAATTAATGGGCATCAATAATTTACACAGGTGTTCAAAAATTTCTGGTTTAAGTTCAGCTAACATAGTTTGAATAAGACCAACATTCAATTTATTTAAGTTAAAGAGGCGCATGAATTCTTCTCTTTCCTTCGTGTTAATACGACACTCTAATAGAATATGATGCACATCATCGATTGTATTACAAGTTTGACAATGGGGTGACAAGGACTTTCCCATCATATGTGCAAATTTTTTTGATGGATAATGACCAGATCGTAGACGAACACCTAATTTAATACAGTACTAATTTAGTTGATTGTAAGTATAATCGATGTCCTATACATTAGTTAAATCGTGTTTTTATTTGTGAAAACCTGTTTTCTAGCTGTTGATTTTTTTTCTTAATAAAAAATAAAATTTAATAAGGAGAAAAAAATATTTTTTTATACCACTGAGGTGGCAAACAAGCATACCCCACCTGATGATAAGCGGTTACCGTAGCCTAGTAACGCCTGCAATACCAGAGGTATTACGCGCGCGTTGCCGACCCTGAAGAAACCTCTTTACCCCCTTTTGAAGAGCCCCATGCTGTAGTCTCTAATATATGTAAATGTATACGTTAATTATATGAAGATATCACTTTTTAGTATAACAGGATTTTTTAGTATTTAACAATGTCTCACCTTCCCGCCAGCGCTCAGGTATTTGTTATTGCACGTATGCAGTGCGTACTTGCCGCCCTCGTCGGCCCTGAACTCCAACGTGAACAGGGTATCCTCTCCCCAGGGCACGTTGGCGTCCACGTGGATCTCATCCAGCGTCTCCGACAGGTGAGCGAAGCGCTTGCGCCCGATGGACCGGAGGTTCACCTGCAATAGCGGTTCTGTATGAGTCCGTGATGGTCATATCAGGATAATTGGTAGATTACAAGTAGAAAACGAGAAGTGTTTGAAGAGCGGATCTCCGGATCAATTAAGATTATTTTCCAGGGGAGGGGGGCTCCTCTGAAAATATGACTCCAGACACAGGTCATAAATGACATCAATAAAATATGAAAAGAATAAAAAAAACTCTAAAGACTAATTCCACAGAGTTAACTGTCCACTGCTGAACGTAGGCCTCCTCTGTGGTATTTTCAGTCGCAGCAGCAGGCGGGTTAGCAACCTCAGTTAAGCTTTGGCGATGTTTTGAGAGAGACGCTGCTGCTCATTCTTCGGCTATTAAGTAGCCTTTATCGCGTTTTACGACTCCCATGGAAAAGAAAGGGGTGGCCCGTTCTTTGCCGGGACCACACGGTAACACACACGGACACAGGTAGGATTACCATTTGATTATTATCCAATAAGAAATTTCATAACCACACACTGATTTCAAAGACTTTACAATTCATTGGGAACAGTTCAAATAGACAATTGAATATAAATAAATACTATTTTACTGGTAGTTTTAAATCCTAATAAAACCAGTGAATATATTTTAAGGTATTCACACCCAAACTACATCAAATTTAATATCTCTACACCAACTATTCTCCAGGGTAATAAGTATGAACGTAATAAAAAGTAATACATTTACAGCCAATCCACGGTGTTTTGTAAGCAATGTTATCATTACACAAGACAGCTGGTAATTACAGACTTCATATAGGAAACACCTGTGACAACATCATCCCCCCCCCCCTCCCCACTTCCACCTCCCACAGCGATTGGTTGTCTTCCTACAAGTTAAACATTCACAGTGTGGGAAGTGGGAACTAATAACAGCATTGCAGAGGAAACGCACAGCACGTATTTACCGAGGCGCGGCGATCACGAGTTCTATTAGTAGTTATTTTCACGGATATAGGAAAGGCGACGAGCCTTCCATATGTTATAATAGATTGCTCTTTACTGTTAAGAACTAAGGATTAAGAAATCTATTGAAAATCTTTTTAATTCTCCGAACTTGAGATATGAAAGGATCGTAAGTAGTTGATCCAGAATACGTTGTTTTGCCTCCTAACATTATTTACCGGGTCCATTTTTTCTTCTAGGAATAAAATCTGTCCTTAAAATCTGTTAAGCGGTTGTGATTAGCGTGAAAGGACATCGTGACCCGGGATTTTTATATACGTAATAAGATTTAGCAAGATTTCAATTTTCAACGAACTCTTTTATCTGCCTCCCTGTAGGTCTCTAGCGCTTTAAAAAGGATGTCATAATTTTACAGATATACAATATTACCATAAAAAAGCCTTATTATTACACAGTATTACATATGGCCGTATGGTCCCGGCATAGAATAGGCCACTACTTCCTATCCCGTGGGCGTCCTAAAAGCCGACTAAGGAAGGGCGAGGGATAGGCAACAGCGTCCCTCTTTAAACATCTATAAAGTCTAACTGCGGTTGCCAATCTGCCTGTCAAGCGTGGTAACTACTGGCAATACCCCCCAAAAGGAGGCTTATTTCAACAGTGGACAGTTAAAGGTTGATATTATGATGATTACATACCTGTGGTCTAGCGGCCAGGTGCACGTGCCACAGCTCGGCGTCTCCTGGCACTTTGGCAGTGCAGCAGAGCTTGTCAGAGCTGGACCCGAGGTAGTAGCCGCGCTCTACGTTACGGAGGGCCCACCGGCCGCTGTTGTCATCGGACACACTGGCAAAAACACCATTTTATTAATATTATGCCACTTATCACCACTAGCGTAACTCCCGATATGAAGAGCAGAGGGGCATGAAAATTTTAATTCGGAAATTTCGGGTATGGATTTTGAGTACCCATATATTTGTTTTATAACTCTGAGGTCTCAAACAAGCATACTACCTGCCTGATGACGCATTGCCAACTTTGAAGAAACCTCTTTTTAAGAAACCCGTGTTGCAGTCTTTTGGAAAACCTTGGTGAAACCGCGCTGTAGGCGACCATCTATCTCTCTTATCATTTCATCATCTAACTTATGTAACTTATTCTTATATAAGTTAAGCTTACAGTCAAAAAGTATTAGTTTAATCGTGTCCTATTCTACTACAAACCGTCAGAACTATCAAAATTATTATGACAGCATTTCTGTTAAAATTTTATTTCGTTAGGCTCCAAAATTTTAGAAAAAATTCTCATGGCAGGTAGACTGATTCTAAATCTGTGACGTTTATGGTGTTATCCATAATTGTAGATGAGGATAGCCAAGTCCTATCAAGTGGGTTCTCTACTTTGTAGGTAATTCATAACAGAATTGATATTTACCGCCGCCTATAAGCACCCGCAACACGAGAGGCAATGCAGGTGTGCTGCCGACATTTTAAAATTTTTGTAGTAACGATAAAAAAATTGTTTAAAAATGGATAAAATAACTTAATGCTGTCAACTATTATCAGACGTAACAGTAAAATGTTCCAAATTTAAAAAAGAATAATTATTTCTATTGTATAAAAAACAAAAACCATAAGCATGATAACATGCCATTTTGCCGAGGAATGTCTAGCGACGATTATTTAATTAAAACAAGACCAATTTTAAGATTAGGTCCAACAAAAAGATGGCATTTCTCAATGGCTCGACGCCGAAGACCACCACAGAAATATGTTGGCACGTTAATGGTGCTACTCGTATTATTGTTGGCCGTTCCCCTGTTTATTGATAATCATGTAGTTTTTATATGTGGTCCCAGTAGTGGACTGGTGAATAATACAGAAACTACCTGTATACTGAAAATTTTAAATAAAGTAATAAATAAATTAGACAATAAGAAATGGTGTGATTACTATGTGGTATGTATGTGTAGTACAATTCATGTCGAAATATCAGCAGCAATGTTTATTAACAACATTGTACTTGTAAAAAAATAGTTTTTTCTCAAACATGCTTGGAAATGTGAGCATTATTTTGACGATCTTCTTCGAGATAAATCAAAATTGCCGTACTGGCCAGATACATGCGGGCAGCGGCCGGCAAAAGTTGTATGAAAATCCATATCGGTCGTATTTTGCGGCCAGATAAATTACTATGTAAACTCATATCTGTCCTGTAATTTAAAAATGGAATGATCTTTTACTTTGAAACATGGCTACCAAGGAGGTAACTAATAAAAGGTTTTATTTAAATTTCGTACTGACTTGCAAATAGAAAGTTGTTAATTGAAAAAAAAAAAAAAACAAAGGAACATTATGGCGCGTGAAAAATTATTATTGTTCGTTAGTCGTCATTGTACTTAAAAAGTAAAATTGTGTTTTTGATTTCCGCGCATTGTTTGAGAAAAGTACTATACAAGCCTTGGCCACGACTAAGCATTGATGGTCTCACGTATGTGTGCCTCGCCTACGCCTCGGCCCACATTTGCAGGTTCGTCCATCAATGCCTCAGTTGCTGGCCGCTGCAGTAATGTACTATTATCCATAGTATATACACCCATATTCGTGCAATAAATTATATGAATTTGAATTACAATATTTTCCACATACAAAAAAAACGAGAAGAAATCAGCGCTGTCTGCTATTGAAACTATCGTATGTAAATCCTGGTAAATAGGTCACGGTTGTACAATGAACTAACTTTATCTTCACTTCTCATCCCTCATTGATATATTCATTGGACAATAGATTGTTAAATTGTTTTTTATTACTAGGGAAGCAAACGAGCAGTCAGTCCAACTGATGGAAAGCGGCTAACATCGCCCAAGAGAGGAGAAAGGGATTGTTAGTAATGAAGACTGAGAATCCCATTGCTAGCAATATACCCAACCAGGTCTAACTCCTCGCGGTTCTGCCTGGAAACTATCATGGTTAATTCCTGATGAATTCATCATGATGGCCTAACTGGCCTGTTTTCATTCTCACCTATCACCCTTCACTGGTGCTCCGCCAGCGTATCCCGTTAGCGCAGGCGGGGTTACCATACCATTTTCACCCATCAAAAAAAAAAACATCGCCCAAGAACACCTACAACGCAAGAGGAGTTGCTTGTGCGTTGCAGATCCTAAAAAACATAAAAAATACTCCGTAATGTCTCTCAATAAACGGTGTCTCTCATAAAGCCCACGGGCGTTACATACAATGTCATATTAACGCACTTTTTATGTTAACCAAACACAGAACTATCACCGAAACTTGCTTATATTATGCAAATCATTAATTCCCAAACACTCCAGCGAATGTTAACAAATGGCTTGGTATTGATACCTAATCATTTCCAATAACGGGGTCATCGCTTGCCTGTGAAAGTTCTTAAAAAGCCAATAGTCATTGGTTTTTATTCGTATAACGTTTGATGACTTGGCAAAAATGGTTTACGGTGTTACAGTAAAATGTATCGTACATGAAACGGTATAAAATATGAAATCCAATCTCGATCGTTGTACGAGAAATCGTACAAAGATGTTTGAGACAAGAGGTGCTAATTAGTTATTTACATTTTTATCCACATTGTTGTTGTACACGGTTTAGAATACAAATCATTTGTTAACCGACTGCGGAAGGAAGGAGGGCTATAGTTTTAACGTATATGTATAATAATAAGAAATACTAATAAAGATTTATTGCACATAAAAATATATAGTCATGGGCTTACAGAAATTTCAAAGTGAATTATATGTGTATAAAATGTAGCATTGTGCCCAGCATATTAGTGTCTAAACTAGGCCTAGCCTGTATCTTAGACACTAATGCCTTCTATTAGATACATATTTTCGTGCGGTTTCGCTACATTTTTTTTTTACAACACAGGGGGCAAACGAGCATGCGGCTCACCTGGTGGTAAGTGACTACCGCCGCCCATGATCACCCACAACACCAGCGGCATTGCAGGTGTGCTGCCGGCCTTTTAAAAAGGAATATACTCTTTTCTTGAAGGTTATGTTATCGTATCGTTTCGGAAATACTGCTGCTGGAAGTTGATTCCAAAGAATGGTTGTGCGTGGAAGAAAGTGCCTTGAGAAACGCACGGTGGAAGACCGCCACTCGTCCAAATGATTGGGATATTAAAATAGTACAAGATTCAGTAAGCAACATGTTTTATATTACTAAAATAGGGTATTTGTAAAATAAATTACAATATTGTATCAAGAAATGTGCCATTATTAGTAAAATAGATGTATGTAACACATAGAAATATGTGTTTCTTTATATCCTTATTAATTCTAAACCTATTTTTATTTTATTTTTCTTGCTATTGATAAGGTAAAAGCATTATTTTTTTTTTTTTTTATATTATGATCTTAAAATATAGAGTAGGCTTTTCTTAATATAAAGCAGTTTCTATGGTTGTATTTTATAATCTTGGTTCCGGCATAGAATGGACTATCCCTTCCTTTCCCGTGGGTGTCGTAAGAGGCGACTAAAAAAACTTAATAGTAGACGCCTGAAAAGCGTGGCAACTATTAGCAAAGCCCCCCGTAAGGGGGAGGCCAGTTAATGACTGTTTTCATTATACCAACCATTAAGTGTCCACTGCTGAAAACTAAATGACTGATATATTTTTTTTTATAATAATAATAATGATTATTGAAAGTTTATCGCTATATCTGAGCAGTACACATTTTTTTCACCCATGATACCCTCCATGCGTTGCCATTCATAGGACTCAGATGTTATTTTGTACCTAAAATGGTATCCCACCCTTCAAACCGAAACACAGCCATGCAAACACAGAATGCCAAACACGAATGGCAGAGGTACGCAATCGACTTTTGTACAAAGTTTTATCTGGTAAGGTAATAATTATTATTATTTATCCTAGTACCACTATGTATATTATTGACAATTTTATCGTCACGATATTATGACGAGTAATAATAAATAATCCACGAAACCAAGTGGTATAATTATTTAATAAGCTACCTAAAGAATTAAAGTCACTGGATGATTTAAATATCTTTAGAACAAAATGAAGTCATTACTGCTAGAAATATATATATATATATATATATATATATATATATATATATATATATATATATATATATATATATATACATTCGTATACAAATTATTGTTTATGAATAAATAAAATAAAAAATAAATAAAAATATGGTATGAATAGTATTATACGAGTATAACCTGGTTATTTGATTAGAAATATTTCGTTTAATTCCGCTACCATTAGTATGTGTGTAACTGCCAACACTAGAAGATCGACCATCACTATTACTACTAGAAGTTCCACAACCTTCCATATTAGCCATCGATATCCGACTGCCATTTTGGTCGATCACGTTTTGAGACACGTGTTTCACCTATAAATGAGGTATCTTTAAGCAAATTAGATGGCTGCTCAAATTGCTGCTACGTGGTCAATTTTCTAGTGTTGGCAGTCACACACATACTAATGGTGGCGGAATTAAACAAAATGCTAATCAAATAATTAGTGATGTGGACTTTTGCAAATGTCTATAGCAGGTGGGCGGTCAGCTTGTTTGCCATTCTAAGTAGTATAATAAAAAAAATAACATCTAGTTTTTAGTAAAATATTTTATAATCTTTATTACTCTATGTGTCTTACATAGTTTTTTTTTTTTAAAGAAAAAACTTAATTTGTTTTATTGTACTAGAAATATAAAAATATAAGGTTGCCCTAAACTAACATTTACCCCTCTCGACGGAGTGGTTAATTAAACGAGCCACTAGGGACCCCCTGTTTTGTTTATACAACTTATGTTAAGGGAT